AAACTAGAGACAAAAATACCTTTCAGCGGTGACGAAAAGCAGCGCAAAGGAGGAGTATACATATATATTGTGTCGATCATCTGTGTGCGTGCGTGCGTGCGTGCGTGGTAGTCACACATATTCCACTCCACCCACCCAAGGGCCGAAACCCGACGCTCTGTCGTCACTGTCATCACGCGCGACCAAAGCCGCATGTAGTATTAGATCCAGCTTTACCTTTGTTTTGTGCTGTAACTAGTAGTTAATTTCCTTCGTCACACGTGTTCTGTGTTAAGCATAGTGGTGGTGGTGCATGCTTGAATCTTGATGCTTCCGTTGGTGGTGCACGGTGAGCAAACCCATGGGTTGGCTGGTTCGTATCGTTGCTGGTTCGTGAAGAAGTATTGTTGGCTGGTTTGTGTGAGAGAAAAATACTGTTCTAGCTAAAAATTTACGATCATTTATGACAAACCAAAACCAAACAAACAGGCTGCTAGCTAGCTGCAGCAGTACATCACTAAATGGATCAGTTTACGACAAGCCACCTCGACGCGTTAAGGGCCGGGGCCTCAAGATTCCGGCCACCACCAGCTGGCCAATGGGTCAGTTTTAGCATATACTCCGTACTAGTATAATTCGGGCGAAGACACAATATTATATACTGACTGAGGCCTAATCTAGGAGTACGTATATACTGATGGAAATTAGTTAATGCTCAACACATGCATCGGACCTCAAGTACATGCATGTCCCATATAACGGCCCAAGAGATGATGCTTTCCGATAGCACATGATTCAGCAAAGCCAGCTACTATACTACAATATGAAGCTTATATATATAATTATTATATTACAAATATAATATGGTAGTATATCTATCACTAAATGACAACTGTCATTGGACTTCGAGTAGTATGTGTTATTGTATCATCAATCTTCAGCTGCTGTTTCCATGCATATATATACTTGTATAATCGTCTGCATGCCGGATCCCGTCGATCCATGTATGGGTGGCTTAACAGTTAACATATCTTGGTTGGTGCTAGTTGATGCCTTCCAGTGCTCAAGGCAGAAGCTTGATTAATTTTAGTATTAGTATCCTAGGCTTCGTTCAGCATCAGGTTCATCAAGATACGCTAGCTCTGGCTGTGTGTTTTAATGACAGATGATCGGTGGGCGCAAAGGGAATAGGTTTTTCATTCCCAAACATTATTTTGACAGGTAGTAAAACAGTAATATATTAAAAGATGGCATAATTATTCATGGATGGTCACATTAATAAGGAAGGAAGAAATTAAGCTCCATTCCTTTTTCGTGGCATTCGGTTTAACTATAATTCTCTAGTACTATTATGTTATGTTGGATGTGAAAAGGTTTGGTGACTACTAATATCTAGTATTAGCTGCTGATTCCGACATGTGACAGCTACTGCATGCAATATTTAATGTCAAACAGGGATCAGGCAAAGCTTTTTGTACAAGGTGGCATCAGAATTCAGAGACAACTTTTAATACGACCGTCCTCGGCCTTACATGTGTTTCCACCAAAGTAAACATGGTATTGTCCTCTATGGGCTCACCTTCTGAATGAACATCTGAATTTGTCTCAGGCGACACGACGGAGCTAAGCTAATGATAATGATAATGAAGAGGAAATTTCCAAAGTGGGAGCTGCACCACAATTCCAGCTCCCATACCAAACCCTGCTGCTTGCTTCCCTGTCTTCCTCGTTCTGCCAGCTATCAGCCCCTCCTCCATGTCACTTCCTTGGCCCTAAAATGTATCACTGTCAAAGAAAGACTGACAAATAGATCAGTCGACTGAAGGAGCTCGCCAAGGGCGACTCGGGGGGGCCCTAAGCCACCTCCTCGGCCGCCGTCGACGCCCTTCGGCGCGCGGCGGCGGCGGCCCTTAAAACGGGATCTCCGTCTGTGTCTCCCACCTCCCCCATGAGTCCTCTGCCTCCCATTCTCTTCCACCTTCATCTCCGGCGTTCTTCCGGCGGCGGCGAGGTGGATCCGGGCCCCCTAGCCCCGGATCTGCTGGGTGCGACGCCGGCCGGCCCGAGTCCACATGGTCTGGTCGCTGTGCCCCACTCCCCTTTATCTCCGGCGTCCTCCTGGCGGCTGCATGGTGGATCCGGGCCCCCCTGGCCCCGGATCTGTCGGCCTAGGCCTCCTCGGTGTGACGGTAGCCGGCCGCCCGACTCCACGCGGTCTGGTCGCCCACCCCTCCCTTGCCGGCGAACGTACTCTTGGAGTGTGACTATCGGATGTCACAGCCCTGTGCCGGTGCTTGCGCCGTCTAGCGTCATCGCTGTGCTCCCGAGCGGTGGAGCACTGGCAGGATGACTCTAGGCCCCCGTGGGCGCTGGTGCGGCGGCAGCTGGCCTCGTCATGGTGCTCCCGAGCGGAGGAGCCCCGGCGGGGCGGTTTTCTAGGCCCCAATGGCGTCAGGCCTGCTCGGTGGTGGTCGACCACCCCTGGTCGGCGGGAGCCCCAGCGCGGCGCTCCGCGACCCGACACAGATACGTGCTGGTGTAAGACCCCCCTGGCGTGACCTCTCGAGTAGCGGAGCCCTTGCACGGGTACTTCTGGAGCTGCTCTACGGTGTGGTGTCTTTTCTTCATGTGCGTTGCAGGGCCCTAGGTGTGCGGTTTGGCCACGAGCTTGCTGGCGGCGAGGCTGTGTTGCCTTGGGTGTCCTCTTCGCTAGATCCGACGGCTCGTGCTTGGATTCGGTGGAGCCGCTGCTGTCCTCTCGGCGGCGGTGCAGTGTTCTTCATGTACGTGCGCGGTTCGTGCGGTTTGGCCGCGGGCGTGCCGGCAGCGGGGCTGCGTGTCCATGACTGCCCTCCCCCTGTGCCTCTTGTCAGGGAGGGCAGAGGGTGCCGGCTCTACAGCGCGACGGTGAGGTTTCTGGGCGACAGCTCTGCTCAGCTCTTGACTGGGCCAGCGATGAGGATCACCTTCGAGCGCATCTTCCTTCTTGAAGGCATCGCTGAAGAACCTCCTGCTGCCTCCTCTTCAGGGTCAACCAGGCCATTGCGGTTTCTCCTTGGCACAAGACTCGGGCGAAAGCCCTGCTAAGCTTTTGCTCGGCGGACGATGATTACGTTTACGTATCATTCACCTCCCTAGAGACATCGTGGAAGAGTTCTTGTGCCGTGTTGTGCTATTTTCTCTCTTTTGGTGAACTTTGGTTGTGTAAATGCATTGTAAAACTATATAACGGGCCGTTTTTGGCCAATATATGAAATCAGGTGGAGAACGCCTCCCCGTTGACCTTCAAAAGAAATTTCCAAAGTGTAAATCCTGCTAGGAAAAAAAGGAGGCAAATTGCAGCTGTCTAGTCATGATTTCGCTGAATTTTCATATATATATATATATATATATATATATATATATATACACACACACGACCTTCTCGGCCACTATCTACGCTCATTACTTTCAGGTGGTGTTTAAATCCAGGGAGCAAAGTTTAAGAATGTCACATCGGGTGTCACATGGGAGTGTTCGGATAGTAATAATAAAATAAATTATAGAAGTCCTCAGTAATCCACGAGACAAATTTATTAAGCCTAATTAATCTATCATTAGTATATGTTTATTGTAGCACCATATTGTCAAATCATGGACTAATTAGGTTTAAAAATTTGTCTCGTAAATTAATCGCAATCTATGTAATTAGTTATTTTTTAGTCTATATTTAATATTATATGCATATGTCCAAACATCCGATATGATATGAAGTAACTTTAGAGGAGAAAAAAAACAAGGCCTCGGTAGGTGTGAATGCATGCAGAGTGGAATGAAAAGAGTAGCTCTAACGTCGTGCAGAGTGGAATGAAAAGAGTAGCTCTAACATCGTACTACACTGAAAACACTAGCTAGCTAGCTCGCATATAATTCTAGATGGAAACAAAAGCAACAAAAGAGTGGTGTGTGCAACGAGTACTACCTACCAACCAAAGCATATACTAGTATCTCAGCATCAGAGGAAACAAATACTAGCTAGTAGCTATGACATCATCATCATCATCATCATCATCATCATCATCATCATCATATATATATATATATATATATATATATATATATATATATATATATATATATATATATATATATATATATATATATATATATATATATATGTTCCATTTACTAAACATGCATGCGTTGCTTCCCTGCCTAGAGCATACTCCGTATGTAGCATGAAGTACTAGGACCTCATCCAGTATTCAAATCCCTAACTAGATTCAGCAAACTATCTCTCAGTGGCCACTGCGTGCGTAAAATAAAGAGCAACAAAGCATCTTTTGGTCCCATATGCGATGGGATGCACAAGCTAGCATCTAATAGGGCTGGCCGTAGCTTCGGGCCGGGGTTCCCATCGTGACGTGACCTCAACGAACAACTTGTACCACCAAGGAAAAAAAATCCGACAATTAGGGTGGTGATGACAGATGAGCGTTGCTTGATCACAAGGTTCTCGATCGAAAACCAAGCCTCCGACAATTAGGGTGCTGCTTTCTCGATCGCGCAGGGTAGGGGTAGGGGTAGGGACCCCTTTATTTCTTGGACGTTTGGCACTCGGCAGCATGCATGCATGAAGACGATCCGAATCCGACATGGCCAATCATAGCCCTGGCAGTCTCTAGTCCAAAAACCCAAACAATCCTACTGCACTTGCAACAGTCATCCCCTCCCCTCCCCAAGACGAAACACGCTTCCCTCCCCTTGTTTTTTTTTTCCGTCGTCGACTCGTCGTCGTCGCCGTTATAAATAAAGAGGGCAGCTCCCTGCGCCGTTCGCCTCATCACTCCCTCACAAGTCACAACCCAGCCACCCACCTCCGCACTTGCCTCTTCTCTTCTCCCAGCAGCAGCAGCGACACAGTCCTGGGGTGCCTCCAGTTTCACAGCATCATTGCCATCGCCAAATATCGATCACCACCCGGCGCCCCTGCCATCCGAACCTGCTCTAGCCTGCGCGACAGCAACAGACAAGGTCGAGCGATGGCCAGCGTCGTCGACGGCAATGGAGGCAGCGGCGGGCTGGTGGTGACGGAGCTGGGCCACATCAAGGAGTTGGTGACACAGCTGGAGGTGCACCTCGGCGGCTCCTCGCCCGACCTCTGCAAGCAACTCGCCTCGCAGATCTCCTCCATCACCGAGCGCTCCATCAGCCTGCTCATCACCACCTCCACCCTCGACGGCGCGCGGAAGCGGTCGGCGGCGGCGGCCAGCCCGCTCAGCGACGCCTCCGACGCGCCCTTCGTCAAGGCCACCAAGAAAAGGTATCCATCGTTGGAGCTTCCCGATTAACAAACAAACATAAACCCTCCTAATTGGTCTCTGTTTGCTGAGTTTTTTTTTCCGCCAACTGATGTTATATTAACTTGCAGGAAGACGAAGAACAAGGAGAGGCATGAGGTGAGGGTGAGCACGGCCGGAGGAGACGGCGACCACCCGGCTGACGACTGCCACAGCTGGAGGAAGTACGGCCAGAAGGAGATCCTTGGAGCCAAGCACCCAAGGTTGCCCCACTTGACTTGACACATCCGCCTATCAAAAGATTTTTCTTTTCCGCCCAATCTCATCTGCACGTGTTCTTTTCGCAAGTGGAATCAAAACCATTTCCTTGTGCTTTCTTATATCTGCTTTAATTTGGATGGCGGGGCTGCATGTCTTGTCTGCTGAAAAAGTTGCTGCCTCTGTTTGTTTGCGTTGTTTGCAAGTGTTTGGCCTCCACATTATTTGTCCAATTTCCAAATCGGATTGGTGATGTTAGTTAATCTTGTTCTGGATGCACAAGCAAAATCTCCTTTTCTTCTTCTTGTTTTCCCAAAAGAAAAAAAGATTCAGGAGCTCACGAGCCAAAATGCAAAATTTCCAGGGGCTACTACCGCTGCACGCACCGGCACTCCCAGGGATGTGCGGCGACGAAGCAAGTGCAGCGCACCGACGAGGATCCGACCTTCTTTGATGTTGTCTACCTCGGCGAACACACCTGCGTTCAGAGCCAGAGGGCGTCTGCGGCGGCGGGTCAGGCTGCCGCGGACGCGCAGGCGCCGGAGTATAAATACAACGCCAACCCGGGAGCCAGCAGCCTCCTGCAGAGCCTGACCTCCAGCCTGACGGTGAAGGCCGAGGGGCCGGCCGTGGAGCCAGAACAGCAGCTGCTGCAGGGCTGGGACGCGCCCGCGCCCTTCTGCTTCTCCTCCACGCCGGCGACGGCGAGCGGGTGCCTTGTACCGGAGCGCAGCCCCTTCTCCGCGCCGTCGACATCCGACAACTGGGGCGTGTCCCCGGCAACCTCGGACTCCAATCGCGTCGTCTCTTTCCCGCCTTTCGAGGTCACCTTGTACCGGAGCAGCAGCTGCGGCGACGATGTGCAGTTCGGGTTCGAGGAAGTCATGTCAGCGCTCGACAGACCCGACGGGTTTCTCGACGACCTCGACATCGACATCTCAAGCTTCTTCGCGTGATCTGAGTACAAGGAGGGAGCGACGAATCTTGCTTATTCTGAGGAAGCTGGCAGCTGTGCGATGTGGCCTCCCCTCAGTTGCTCTGCCGTTTGTCCAGGGGCAGGAGGGATAAACACATGTTCTCTCTCGGTTAGTTGCAGTGCCCGTTAGGAGCCCTTCAAAATCAAATTTGGTTTTGAGGGCTCAAGTAAGGTCATGTTGGAGTTGTTTTTAGGATATCAGAATAGCGCATGCCCCTTATCTCTCATCTTTTGGGTCGAGGGTTGCAAAGTAAACAATTTCGTAATACGGATGCCAATTAATCTAAACATGCGAGTTTTGTGAAATCTTTCAACAAACTTCCTCTGTCCAAAAAGAATGTAATTCACATTTTTTCGTGGAGTCAAATGATTTGAAATTCGACTAAAGTTATACAAAAAATATTAACATTTATAATACAAAATAAATATCATTAGATTAATTATTCATAATAAACTTATTTAAAGACATAAGTGTTAATACCAATAGTCCGTCCACCCGTGCTCTCGCACGGGGTACAATTTTAGGAGATATAAGTATTAGTTATTAGTTAATACATATGACTAATAAAGAATTACTTATGTTAAATTATATATTTGTTTATTTTTTTAACATAATGACAATCCAGTTATCATAAACTTAAATTATATATTAGTTGCGGTAAGGTCCACCAAGGGATTTTTTTAACATTTTTTGTAAACTAATTTTAAATCTAACACTGTTTTTTTTCAAAACTAACACTTTTGGCCGCGCCTATTGTCATGGCACGGCGAAACGCCTGTGCCGCGCCGCGCCATGCATGGTGGCGCGGTGACGACCGGGGCTGCTGACCGGTGACGTGGCAGGGTCTGTTGCGCCATAGACCACGGCGCGACAGGACCTGGACACAGACAGAAGATTGGCTGCTGTCGGTGAGGATCAGCAGCGACGCGACCATGGACCCTGGCTTCGCGTCGCAGCTGAACGGCACCTGCAGCTCTGACCCCAACGCCTTCGCCTTCCTCGACACCTCGCCAGTGGGCTCCGAGCAGGTGTTCTAGGCTAGTCCGACATGAGGTCGCGCAGCACGGTCGACTACTGCGCGTCCAACCAAGGTGCCTTCTTCGGCGATTTTGTGGCGGCGATGACCAAGCTCGGGAGGATCGGGGTCAAGATGCCGGCACCGGCGGCGAGATACGCCAGGACTGCCGGTTCCCGAACTAGTTGCTAGTTAATCTCACCGGCAGTGCTGCCGCGACGCATTGAAACGAATATGAAGCAAACAAATGAAGTCCGTGCGTAAGTTGACAAGCTGCCACATAACATTTTCATTGGTTCGACATAAGTTCGACATAACATAACCAACTAAGCCTACAAGTTTCGGACGACAATATTCGTTCGACCTAACAAACTAAGACCCAGGAGTGTAAGGATCTCTCGGACGCCTCTTTCTCTTCGGATTTGTTGCACTACAAGGTTCTACCTCTAATGACACGCCACATGATTGCAACACCACTAATTTGGTTGCCATAGGTGGGTCGTATTGCAACCTTTTCAAAAAATGGTTGCAATATGTGTCTATAATGCAACGGACTAAATTTGTTGCAATATGTGTGGTTTGTCGTTCCAACAGGCTTGTGTTACTGCAACCATTTAAGAATTGTGTTGCAATTAGTTGACATTATTGCCATGGCGCTTTGGAGTTGCATTAGTATTGATTTTCGTTGCAATTACTTGGTGTTATTGCAACTATATTGGATTTGGTTGCTTTTGCTTGTAACTATTGCCATGCTTGTTATAGGTTGCAATAATCTTCAGTGGTGTTGCAATTGCTAGGTGGTTATTGCAACAAGAATTCTGAATAGATGCAATAGCATGTTCGTATTGCCACGGTTTTTTAGGGTTGTAATCATCTTCAGTGGCGTTGCAATTGTTAGGTACTTTTGCAACTCTAAATGGACGCAATATCATGTTACTGTTGCCATGTTTTTTGTGTTGCTATAGATAATATATTTGGTGAGCCTTTCAGTGACAGCAGCATTACGTGAGCATCGTTTGTTCGCTCGATCGCAGTTCAGGCTACATTGATCTCGCAAGAAACGCCACGCCCTAGACGATCATGTGAAACGCCGTCGCTCATTGTCATCTGGAGGGTGAGCACGCAGCCATCAGCCTTCGCCCGGCGCCCCAGGTGTCATCGTGGGAGGCTAGGCTGGCATCCATCATCAGGAGAGGCCAACGCCCATCATCAGGAAGCTTCGGCGAAAGTCATCAACGCCATGTACATGCCATATAATTCATCAAAGCAATCCATAGTAGTATAGTCACAAAATATCAGAACTGTGTTGCTTGCTCATGATTGCATATCTCCTAGTACATCAGATAATTTTTTTTTTTGGCATCACAAAATACTTCTAACAAAAAACCATATCAGGTGTTCCAATCTAAACTCATCTTTTAAACTACTAGGTGAGGTCCAAAAAACTAGCTTCAAATTGTGGCACAAAAGTCCCAACTAGGAGACGAGCTTCCTCTACCACTTCGGCTTCCATTGTCGTATCTGCCAAACACACCTTGGGCAATCCTCTAAAGTGTTGCTAAAAGCCAAGTCGAAAGTATTATCCTACATTACCACTACAAGATGAAACTCACTTTTGCAACCCATATATGTGTTGCTAAAAGCCTATATCAACGTTGCAAGGGTCCAAATATGGTCACTTTCCATTCTACACCGTCTTGAAAATAGAAAAGCTCCAATCATGTCTAAAGTAGTACTAGAAACCCATGTTTCCAAATCTTCGGATAGAACTCTTATTAAAGGATCTTGGCAATCTTTGTTCATTTCATCACTCATCCTGCATAGAAACAACACCACAATTTTGTAAGTGTGGCATTCATATATATCACTCCAGATCTCCTAAAGTGTCAAGATATCTGAACATCTATGTGGCTGGCTGATTTGTGAATCCTACAAGTTACAGAATTTTCTAGAAAAATCATAAGTTGCAGAATTGATAGAGTAGGCTGTAAGCAGTTAAATTATTGTCGATAGGAGATAGTTCAAGCAAGTAGTAGATCCATAATAGTGTCCATGGTCCTCTTCTTAATGAATAACTATCATTCTGCAAGTAAAGGTCTAATTTTCACTTGTACTAAAACAATAGAGGCAAAAAAGGAATACCTGATAAAAAATTTAGACTTCTCAAAGATGTAACAGAGCAAATGACATCTCTTTCAGGTGGCTGGAAGTAATGGTAAGGGAAATAATATATTAAATCACATAGCTATGACCTCACCCCACCAAGGAGAGAGACAATAAAATATGCTGCTCCTTTTTTGTGAAAATTACTGTAACAAGTTAACATTGAAATAAATTATAGTAGAAAAGAAAACCTGGTACCTAGCAAAAAAAAAAAAAAAACAAGAAAGGAATACTAGAGAATATAGAACTGTTAAGTAAGGTTAATATTCTCCACAGCCTTGGTGGTTTGTCATCTTCCGAATTTAAGAGACCAACAAAAAGAACATAAAATTCTATCAGATAGCAGGACATAAATGTGTCATTCAAACACAACAATACAAAGCCGATTGATATCCATACAAAAATTATGCAGTTGGACTCCTTAAAAAAATTGTGCAGTTGGTGAGCAATAACAGAAGGGAACATTGTGGCATTTAACATTATCACATCAACAGCAAAAAGTCAGGTTAACATGCATAAACTTAGTTATCCTAGAAACCAAATTAACATTACAAATAGAGAATATGTGAAGGCACGTATGAGCAGTGACAGAACTTATCAACATATACATAATTACAGCTCCCTAACAGACATAACATAAAAGTTGCATAAGATTAAAAGTTAATGCATCATCTTGAAACCACATTGAATGGAATCATATAATGGGCTTGTGTTTATGAATTCTAAGCACCAATTAAACAGGGAAAATGCATAAACTAAAAAGCATACATACACGATAAAATGGATTATCTGAACTTGGTTCGATTCTGCAGTAATATTATACCGCAGTATCCACCTAACAATGCCAGAGTCAATGATATACACGATAAATAGATTATCTGTGTACATGCTCACCATTCCCCTTGTTTCTGGGTCGATACGTGCAGGCGTCAGACAACCACATCTAGTTAGCTGCTTTCTGCAATGCTCCCGTAGCTGCAGTGTCCTTTGTGCGAGGCGGCCAAAATTATGACGCATCCACTCACTGATATGCAAATACGACCAAAATTAGAAGAAAAAAAAACAAGCCGAGGGATTCAGGCAAAAATTAGGGACCCAGGAGGCTAGGAGCACCTTCAACTAGATCCAGCTAATTGATGGTAGAGGCACAAGGATGTAATGATGCTGGGTAGAGGAACGGATCACATACCTGCACACATTCTGCCTCCGCCTGGTTTTCCGATTTTCTGCCCGGCGCCACCGTATTGCTGGTCGGTGGCTCGGCGCTGCTCCAGCAGCCAACCGGCTGCTGCCCTTTCATGCCGCCAGATCTGGCCGAGCGGCAACTAGGGATCCCGACCGAGTGTGGAATGAGGAGCACCGGGCAAGGACGCAAGGATAGCGCCGCCGCCCACCATCGCACGCCGGGCGAGCGCCCGAGCCAAGATCCACCGAGGGGCCGTCACCAGTTCTCGTGAAATTTTTCCTCCGTCTCCGAGCAGTTGCCGCCAACACACACGAGTAAATGAGAGGGGGAGGGAGCCAAATTTTATAAAGGAGAAGATAAGTTGATTGGCGCGGCCATGGGTTACAAAATTTAATCTCGCGCCAGAAGAGAGAAGCAGAAATTCTAGTATATATATACATGAACTAGTTTATTTTAAAATATATTTTTGGCTATATATGTGACCAAGCATACATATAAAGATTAAAATTTTATTTCTATTTTAAGTCACTTAGTGGTATTTTGTATTTTTAATAATATATCCAACTCTTCTCAGAGAATTTTGAAACTTGGAAAGGGACCTAACCACGTTCTTAT